GGATCGCTGGAGCCCAGTGGGTCGAGGTTGCGGTGGCCCGGAGCGGCCACTGCACTCCAGTCTGGGCGACAGAGTGAGAGTCCAATTCAAAAATAAATAAATAAATTTTAGAATTATTTTTTCTCTTCTGTGAAAAATGACATTTTCATAGGGATTTTGATAGGGATTACACTGAAACCTGTGGGTTGCTTTGGGTAGTGTGGTCATTTTAACAGTATTAATTGTTCCAATACAGAATCCATATCATGAGACAGTCTCCCCGTCTCAAGATTCTTTTTTTTTTAAGTTGGAGTTTCACTCCATCACCCAGGCTAGAGTGCAGTGGCACACTCACAGCCACCCCAGTATTGACCTGCTGTGCTCCGGTGATCTTTCTGCCTCAGCCTTCCAAGTAGCTGGAACTACAGGTGCGCACTACCATGCCCGGCTAATTTTTTATTTTTGTTGAGACGTGGTCTCTCCAAGTTGCCCGAGCTGGTCTCAAACCCGTGGGCTCAGGAAATCTACTCGCCTAGCCTCTCAAAGTGCCAGGATTAAAGGCTGAACCACCAAGCCCAACCTCAAGATTCTTAATCACATCTTCAAAGTCTCTTTTTCATATAAAGTAATATATTCACAGATTCTGGAGATTAAGATGTGAACATCTTGGGTAGGGGTGCATTTTTCTATCACAAGAGAAATTATTTTGATAGTGTCTAAAATTCGAGATTATTATTTTAGGAGATGAAGTAAATTGAGAAGTTTTTTTTTGCATTCTGGAACTGCAAAATGGGTAATAACACTTATCATGGAGGCTGGGTGCCATGGCTCAAACTTATAATCCTAGCATTTTGGGAGGCCGAGTTGGGAGGATTACTTGAAGCCAGGAGTTTGGGACCAGTTTAGGCAACATAGCGAGACCCCCCATCTTTACAAAAAAATCAAATAATTAGCCTTGCATTGTGGTGCACACCTATGTGTAGTTCCAGCCCCTTGGGAGGCTGAACAGGAAAGATCATTTGAGCTCAAGAGTTTAAGGCTTGCGGTGAGCTGTTATCGCATCTCTGCATTCCAGCCAGGGTGACAGAGTGAGACCCCAACTAAAAACAAAACAAAAACCCAAAACAAACAAAAACCACTTATGAGGGTAAAAGGAGGTGTGTTAATAACAGGTAAAGGAAAAGGAAGGACGGCATGGCGTGTTGCTGTTTGAGATCCTGACTTTTTCTAATGATAAAGATGCATCTTAACTCTAACACTAGAATGCCAAGGCCTAATGTGGAAGAAAAAAAAAGTGATAAGTATGTTAATTATTAGTAAGTGTGGTCTTTCTTATTTTTAGCTCATTATTTACACTTGTCAAGATATGTACAGAACAAAAAATGAAAACTTTTCAAGCAAACAGTATCATTTTCTCTGGGGATATGTATTGGTGTGTATTTTTCCAGACCTTTATAGTACATTTTACTGTGTATGTGCTTTTTCTTTTTTTTCTTTTTTTTGAGTCAGAGTCTCTGTCACCCATGCTGGAATGCAGTGGCACCCTCAGGGCCCCTGCAGCCTCGACCTGCTGGGTTCAGGCGATCCTTTCACCTCAGCCTTTCAAGTAACTGGAACTACAGGCATGCCACCACCATGCCCGGCTAATTTTCTTTTAAATTATTATAGAGACGAGCTCTCGCCAAGTTGCCCAGGCTGGTCTCAGACCTGTGGGCTCAGACAATCCTCTTGCCTCTGCCTCCCAAAGTGCTGGAATTACAGGTGTGAGCCACCACACCTGGTTGTGCTTTTGCTTTTTAAAAATTTAAGAAATTTTTAGAATTTTAGTTTTTTCTACCTTACATGAATGAGATCACCCTACATCCGGTAGCCAGTACTCCTTTTACATGTTTTACACTACCTTTTGTTATAAAGACATTAGCAGCCAGAAAAAAGAGGTGACCGATGTTAGATGATGGTGATGACCATAATAGGTACAGGCAATGCCTTTTCCTTTGTAAGCGTTATACTCAGCGCTTTGCTTAGTCTAACTCATTTAATCCCCACTACCCTGTGAGGCAGGTATTATTATTATCCCCACTTTATAGACAACGAAACTGAGGAAGAACATCTTTTAACCCCATTTAACAGTTGATACCCAGGCCATCCAGCTCCACAGTTTATGCCACACTGTTTGCTAATTTTGCATTTTACTGGAAAGGGCTGGGCATAGACAAAGCATGAGTGTGTTATTTGGGAGTCTAAGCAAAACCTCATCAATGAGTTGGCTTATTCTCTTCCCTTCTGTAGCCATTACACCATTTTTATTATCAACTCAGGGGTGGGACAGGGAAAAGTCTCTTGAATTGAAAGGGTCATATCTGAGTTTATAAATTCTAGCCTGTTTTCTTCTCCTTTTTGTTGAGAGCCAGTAGATTTCTAAACCAGTTCTGATTTTATTTACCCTTGTAGTTTAGAGCATGCCTGATTTTCATGATACTTGGAGAGCTTCTGCTAAAATGAAGTATCTTCCTTTTTATTTTTTATTTTTGAGTTGGAGTCTCACTCTGTCGCCCAGACTGGAGTGCAGTGGCACGCTCCGGGCCCCTGCAGCCTCGACCTGCTGGGCTCCAGCGATCCTTCCCCCTCAGCCTTCCAAGTAGTTGGAACCACAGGTGCGTGCTACCATGCCTGGCTATTTTTAATTTTATTGTAGAGATGAGGTCTTGTCAAATTCCCAGGGCGGGTCTCCAACCCATGGCCTCAGGCAATCCACTCGCCCGGGCCTCCCAAAGTGCTGGGATTACAGACTGAGCCACCGAGCCCGGCCTTTATTTTTATTTGCTTAATTTTTTTTTTGAGTTGGAGTCTCACTGTCACCCAGGCTGGAGTGTAGTGAACACTCATGGCCACCCCAGCATCGACTTGCTGGGCTCCAGCGATCCTTTTGCCTCAGCCTTCCAAGTAGCTGGAACTACAGGTGCGCACTACCACGCCTGGCTAATTTT